ACCCGGGGCCTTGGTGTTATCAGCACCGCACTCTCCCGAGTGAGCCACGGGCCAGCCCATTCCCAGCTTTTTCTAATTAGTGTCAAGTTGCTCCAGTTTTTGTCTTTCTTCTTCAATACAGAAAAAATTTAAGATTATAAATTTCATCTGACTAAAGGGTTTATTGTATTTTGGTATAATAGCCTCCTTTCCTTTCTGTATAGTTTGTAATTCCCTTTCTAAATAGTTTAAATTCACACATAAGTTGAGTTTTCTTATAAGGAATAGTCAATATTTTGCATCAAAATACAGTTTTTCTTTTTTTACAACTGTAAATGGAAATTCCTAGGACACTGGTCCTACCCAAATTCAAATATCAAATATTCAAATATCCCTGAGGAGGCCAACAAAATTCAGTAAAAATAATACTGCTGTTGCAACACCAGTGAAAGTATATACACAGAAATGCACATGAACACATACACCAGCATCAGCATCATCATCATCATTAGCACCACCATCACCATCCCCACAACTACTACGCAAAATGTCAGAGCCTGATAATGTATCACCAGATCAGAGTACGTTCAGAGAGACCAATAGAGAAACATGCCTAATGGTTCCATTGTCCATATTAAACTAATACAGTAAACTGTACACTTTTGGTTTCTATTCATTTGATTTTATGATTCAGCCATAAAATTACATGGTTATAAAGTAGACAGTGAACTAGGAAGAGCCAGGAAGCCTCAGAATTGTAAAAATAAAAGACCAACTACATTCATTTAGCTAGAGAATTTCGAGTTTCAAAAACTGTGTGACATGAAATTTTATTTTATACACGTGATAGTTTCTATCAGCTACTCTCCTCCATACCCTTTCCCTCTTCTTTCTTATTAACAGAACTCTGAGTTTTGGGGTCAGGGGGCATCAGTACATACCACCCAGAAGATAAATCAAAATTGCTCTATGCCAAACATGGATCTCCCTTCTTCCCTTTGCCAGGTAAGTAAATTCCCAGGCTTGTTTGTAGCTGCAAGTGCTGGGTATATGACCTACCCACGTGGCTGATGAGAGATATGGAAAAATCTGCTGGGAGGATTCTGTGAAAGACTGTTCATTCAACATAAAAAGAGAGCCACACAAGAAGGCATTTTGTCCCCACCTCCTCCTTTGCTCATGGGACACTGCAGTGAGGAAAATGATGCCTGGGGCTACAACCATCACCCTTTTACCATGAGGCAACAAGCAAAAGCATGAGAAACCAACATGTTAAGGATAGTAGAACAAGAGGGCAGTAAGATCCTGGATGCCTCAATTATATAACTGACTTGACTGATCAAACTCTGGACCTACCTGCCTCCAGACTTCTCATTAAATCTCATTATTAATAATAAATATCCTATGGTTCAAGCTCATCTTGACTGTCATTACAGCCAATTGCTTCATAACTGACACAGTAGTGCCCTATATCTTCATAATATGATTAAGAATATAAATTACAAATTAACATATCAGAGTTTAAAATTTTATAAAAGCAATAGGAGA